TACGACTGAGCACAGGAGGGTGCGTAAAGGGAGGAAACAGAGGGGAGAAAGCCATTATTTATGTGGAAGGTGTTCATTACGAGCAAAAGGCTTTTGAACTGGAAAATAACTGGCCTTTTTCAGTCTATACATTTCTGATCCTAAGAACATAAGAACGTAAGAGATTCCAATGTTGGGTCAGGCCAAAGGCCCGTCCAGTCCAACACTCTGTATCACACAGTGGCCAGAAATACCAGTGCCATCAGGAGGTCCACCAGTGGGGCCAGGATACTAGAAGCCCTCCCACTGTTGACCCCCCCAAGCACCAAGATGACAGAGCATCCCTTGCCCCAGAGCCCCTATCTATACCTTGTGGCTAATAGCCACTGATGGACCTCTGCTCCATATGCTTATCTAATTCCCTTTTGAAGCCGTCCATGCTTGTAGCTGCCACCACTTCCTGTGGCAGTGAATTCCAAGTGTTAATCACTCTTTGGGTGAAGAAGTACTTCCTCTTATCCGTTCTAACCCGACCGCTCAGCAATTTCATGGAGTGCCCACGAGTTCTTGTATTGTGAGAAAGGGAGAAAAGTACATCTTTCTCTACCTGCTCTTTCCCATGCATAATCTTATAAACCTCAATCCTAACACAGCTTTGGCTTGGATCCTAGGAACAAGTTCCATGCAGGCTAGATAGCCTCCACCATGGACCACTGGGGTTGCTATGGCTTTATGGGATGCGCGAATTCAGTCGTCCTGCCTGAATCCTGATGTGTTCCTCCAGCGCTACTATCTCTGGCTACAGAGTGCAGGAGATAAAACCAGCATTTATCAAAGTGAAGAGGATTGGACTTTGGGGTCCCCAACATGGTGCCCTCCAACACTTTTCTTGGTGCCCATCAAGTGTTTTTAGAAAATAGGTGTGGTCAGGTGGTGCTGTTGCCCAGGGCTGTCATATTGAGGATGGTGCGGAGTTGTTTTCTGTTGCCCCGGAAGGTCGGACCAGAACCAATGGGCTGAAATTAAATCAGAAGAGTTTCTGGCTAAACATTAGGAAGAGCTTCCTGACAGTTAGAGCAGAACCTCAGTGGAACAGGCTTCCTCGGGAGGTGGTGGGCTCTCCTTCTTTGGAGGTTTTCAGGCAGAGGCTAGATGGCCCTCTGACAGCAATGCAGATTCTGTGAACTTAGGCAGATCGTGAGAAGGAAGGGCAGGAAGGGTGGCCTCCAATGTTCCCTCTAAGTTGTGGAGTCTTGTGAGCAAAAATTCTACTTTGTAAGCTACTGGAATTAAAGTTGTGGGCAAGTGATTGGGCTACTGCATAAATTAGTTTGCTCTGGAGCCATCCTTCCTGAGCGAAGACAAAAATGTGTGATTCGGAGGCTCAAAAACTGTGAGCTAGCTCACACTAACTCAGCTTAGAGGGAACACTGGTGGCCTCAGTGCTTAGTTCTTGTGGCCTTTTCTTACACGCCCAGGGAAACGCTGGTCACCACTTTGGGGTCAGGAAGCAATTTTTCTCCAGGCCAGTTTGGCCAGGGATTCTGGAGGTTTTTTGGTCATCTTCTGGGCATGGAACGAGGGTCACTGGGTGTGTGTGTGGGGGGGGGGGGTATTTGTGAATTTCCTGCATTGGGCAGGAGGTTGGACTAGATGACCATGGAGGTCCCTTCCACCTCTATGATGCTATGATTCTAAGTCTTCTGACTGGCCACTGGAGATCTGACTGTGTGCACAGATTCACAAAATGTTTCAGTGGCAACTGCCATCAAGATGTTGGGTTTATTCTCCCTCATTCCTCTTTCCCAATGTGTTTTCTAAAATTACTCCTCTTCTCCCCTGCACTTGGGCTTTCAGTGTGTGTGTGGCTCCATCCCATGGCAGTCATTTTGCGGTTGGTTCCATTTCCTGCAGCAGCCGTGCTGTGGGTAAATCCACCAGCCTGTGTCAGAATTCCAAAGGTGCCGGCAGGCTCAGAAAAGTGGGGAAACCTTTCAAGCTGAATCCTGCTTTCACAAATTAACCCCAGTTAAAATAAAACATGGTTCCGGATTATGTCTGAACCAAGCCAGAGATAAGATTTTGTCCCCCGATATGATTGGCGCAGTGGTTAGGAGCGCGGACTCTGATCTGGGAGAACCGGGTTTGATTCCCCACAACTCCACTTGCACCAGCTGGTGTGACCTGTTGAGCAGATAGCACTTTAAGGCACCCCAAAGCCTGGTTCCACCAAGCTTGGGTCACTTGCCCCCTATATCCCTCAGGTAGGTTTGCTTGCAGATAACCTTGACACAGTCCTTTTGGGAGGGGTTTTTCTCGCCTGTCCTCGGTTCTGTTGCGGACTGTATAGTCATTTTGTAAAGATCGGAGAGCTATGCACAATTCCTCTTCCCTCTCCCTCCAATATATTGTTGCAGTCTACTACCTCTGGATCAGGACACATTGTTTAAGTTAGGGGTGTCAAACTCGTTTGTTATGAGGGCCAGATCTGACATAAAAGTCACTTTAATGTAAACAAAAACAAATATGGTCACAATCCATAGACATGCAAAAATAGAACCACAAGAACTGTACACAGTGCGCTCAATATTTCTTTAACGAAAACCGTAAAGTTATAAATATGAAATGTTCAAAAGTGATAATAATACATTCAAATGTGGAGGGGAAGACCGGCCTGGGGGGGCGGGGGGCGGACACCGGCCTCGCCGCTGCCACCGCCGCCTCGGGGAGATCGAGGGATGGGGGGGTGGAAGAGACGGGGCTCTTCTCCCCCCCCGCGAGTATCGCGGGTCCCCCTCTTGTATAATATATATGTCAACATCAATACTTGCATCTTGGTAATTGTACATCAAAATAACATAGAATTGGTGCAAAGCCTTACTTGATGATGTATGAAAAATTACACTTCAATGGACTTTTGTACATTTCATATTTATAACTTTACGGTTTTCGTTAAAGAAATATTGAGCGCTCTATGTACAGTTCTTGTGGTTCTATTTTTGCAGAAAAGTCACTTTGTCAGGCCGGGCCATGTCTCCCATAAAAGTAAATGCCAGGTACCAGAGATATAAACTTTATAAATGACACAGGCAAACCCAATTAACAGTATTATTTTTTACTCAAAACACAAACAAAAGGAATTGATTCCTAGTAGTGAAAGCAATTGATTTACTGCAGAATCCACAAAAGCCCCGATAAATGTATTTAATCATATGCTGAGTGTAGGTGGGCAATTTTCTCAGTGGAGGGTGGTAAGCAGTGGGGTACCGCAGGGATCAGTACTTGGTCCACTGCTTTTTAACTTGTTCATTAATGATTTGGAGATGGGAGTAAGCAGTGAAGTGGCTAAATTTGCGGATGATACAAAGTTGTTCAGGGTGGTGAAAACCAGTGAGGATTGTGAGGCACTCCAAGGGGATCTGTCAAGGATGGGCGAGTGGGCGTCAACATGGCAAATGGGGTTCAATGTGGCCAAGTGCAAGGTGATGCACATTGGAGCCAAAAATCCTAACTATAAATACACGTTGATGGGGTCTGAACTGGCAGAGACTGATCAAGAGAGAGATCTTGGAGTTGTAGTGGATAACTCACTGAAAATGTCGAGACAGTGTGTGACTGCAATAAAGAAGGCCAATGCTATGCTGGGGATTATTAGGAAGGGTATTGAAAACAGATCAGCCAATATAATAATGCCCCTATATAAATCAATGGTGAGACCTCATTTGGAATACTGTGTGCAGTTCTGGGCACCACACCTTAAAAAGGATATTATAGCTTTGGAAAAAGTGCAGAAAAGGGCAACTCGAATGATAAAGGGGTTGGAACACTTTCCCTATGAGGAACGGTTAAGGCGCTTAGGGCTCTTTAGCTTGGAGAAACGACGACTGAGGGGTGACATGATTGAGGTTTATAAGATTATGCATGGGAAAGAGCAGGTAGAGAAAGAGGTACTTTTCTCCCTTTCTCACAATACAAGAACTCGTGGGCACTCCATGAAACTGCAGAGCGGTCGGGTTAGAACGGATAAAAGGAAGTACTTCTTCACCCAAAGAGTGATTAACACATGGAATTCACTGCCACAGGAAGTGGTGGCGGCTACAAGCATGGACGGCTTCAAAAGGGAATTAGATAAGCATATGGAGCAGAGGTCCATCAGTGGCTATTAGCCATAAGGTATAGATAGGGGCTCTGGGGCAAGCGATGCTCTGTCTTCTTGGTGCTTGGGGGGGGGTGTCAACAGTGGGAGGGCTTCTAATGTCCTGGCCCCACTGGTGGACCTCCTGATGGCACTGGTATTTCTGGCCACTGTGTGACACAGGGTGTTGGACTGGATGAGCCATTGGCCTGATCCAACATTGGCGTCTCTTATGTTCTTATGTTGTGTGCCCATGCGCCTGCCCCCTCAATCAGTCTCCTGCCTTCTTTCTCTCACACCAGTTGCTCGCGGGCCGGATAAGAGCCCCGGATGAGATGGTTCTGGCCCCCGGGCCGCATGTTTGACACCCCTGGTTTAAGTTCTAGCTTAGTGGTAGAAAAGAGCAAGAGTCCAGTGGCACCTTAAAGACTAATAGAAGTTGTGGCAGAGTATTAGCTTTTGTGAATCAGTGCTCTGAAGAAGCAATCAGTGACTGACAAAAGCTCACACCCTGCCACAAATTTTGTTAGTCTTTAAGGTGCTACTGGACTCTTGCTCTTTCTACTGCTACGGGCAGACTGGCACAGCTACCCATCTTGATCTGTCTCCTAAATAAGCAGACTGTGATTTGCATTCAACAGTCATTCAGGCAACGTTTTTTAAAATATTTAAGCCTTCATAAGGGAAAAACACTGATAAGTCATTCCTTCTTCCTGGAAACCAAGATAGGCAGGTAGATCTGGGGAAAAGAGTCAGAAATGGTATGTGGCGGCGGCATGGAGACGGCGCAGACGGCAGCAGAGAGAGAACATCAGCGGCGGTGGAGCAATGATGGTGGAACTCGGTGGAGCAACCCCTGGTGGCCAGCAAGAACATAGTGCGGCCGATGACGACTAAAGGCGGAGACTGGAGGCGAGCAATGGAGTGTATGTGGGGCGCGGCAGAGCCTTGCTGGACGGAGCCGACGCCGGAAGCAAACACAAAGCGTGCGCCTGCGCAGTCCTACCGACAGCCGTCCAAGGGGAGCCCTGGAGACTGCCGCCAAGAAAAACATCAGAGCCTGCCAAAAAAAGAAGAAACCGAGCAGAGCCAGAACAACAACAAGGATCCACCACCTGGGTGCCGGTAGGATGTCCCCCTCCCAGGAAAACATGTGGCCCAAGTTAGGGTTCAGCGTTACTAGAACGCACCATGTAAAAACCGCCCAGAGACCCTTCGGGGTTAGGGCAGTATAGCAAGTCTAAAGTATAAATAAAATAAATAAATAAAAAGGGTCTGTTTGGGGAATTACATTCAGCTGTGGAATTTCCTAGGTGGGGCGTCTCAGAGTTCGCTGGATTCTGGGGGATTCCTACTTGCATTGACTGCCTGGGTTGCTGGGGGGGGGATATCACTGCCTTGGTCTATATCTGATCTCTAATCCTTCTCAATACACAGAAGTGAGAACAATCTGATTTTCACGCAGGCACTGAATGATGTTTCAGCCGTCTCCCCTGTGAAAGAAACCAATTCTTGCCTGCATTGTCCAACGCAACATCTGAAACTCATCTCGTGCAGGATTTCTATTCCTCCTTTCAAAAACGAAAACAGCAGAGGGGAAAGGAAGCCTACGAAGCCATTTAAATGGATCCTGATGTAACAGTAACAGCTACGAGATCCAATTTTTAAAATGCAGGTGTGGGGCAAAAAAAGAAATATCATCTACCAGGTGTGACATTAGGAAGGCTGACCTCCCTCGCCCCAGCAGTATTTCATGTGCTCAAGCTTCAGATGTGCAAAAGCAAATATTACACCATGCTCCCCAGCGGGTACTGGTGTAAATGAGTGTGTGTGCTCCAGAATCATGTTCGTGGCATATGGATATTAAGAACAGCTGGTGGATCAGACCAGTGGTCCATCTAGTGCAGCCTCCTAACTCACACAGTGGCCAACCAGTTCCTCTGGACAGCCAACAACAGGGCATACAGAGACTGAGGCCTTCCTCTCATGTTACCTCCTGGCTCTGAGATTCAAAGGTTTAGTGTCTCTGAATGTGGAGGTTCCCCTCAGAGACCATGGCCAGTAGCCCCCATGAATCTATCTAATCCCCTTTTAAAGCCATCCATGTTTTTGAGCTTCAGGGGATGGAGTGGTGGCTGACCTTGTTGGGCTCTGCAGTCAGCCCATGTGAGCTGAGAGTCTCTGAAGCTCACAGTGACTGTGCATTGTAATGCAGCACAAGTGCACAGTGGGGAATGCTGTTTCGCTCACCCACCAAGTTTATTCTTCTCAATGGGTAGCTGCTGTTAAGCTTCGAACATAAGAACATAAGAGAAGCCAATGTTGGATCAGGCCAATGGCCCATCTATTCCAACACTCTGTCACACATTGGCCAAAAACACCAGGTGCCATCAGGAGGTCCAGCAGTGGGGCCTTAGAATGCAGCTTGAAGACCATTGCTCTAGACCAGTGGTACTCAATCCATGCCTTGCAGAGAACCTAGGATTGCCAACCACCAGATGGGGCCTGGAGATCTCCTGGAATTGCAACAGATCTCCAGATGAGAGAGATCAATTCCCCTGGAGGAAATGGCTACTTTAGAGGGTGGACTCTATGGGCATTAGACCCTGCTGAGGCCCCTCCCCCCCCATCCCTCTCCAGAGGTGTCTCAACCTGGAGCTGGCAGCCCTAGGCGAGCCATATCTGCAATTACCCTTGAGCAAAAGAGCCGTGTTTACTTCCACCCCTGGCATGAGGCCCATACCTCAGGGACGCTTGCAGCTTACTCATTTCTCCAGCAGCAGCTGTTTCAAAGTAGGAACTTGTTAGGGATTTCAGTGTCAAATGCAGATTCAATAAATGCAGCTGAACACTTATGTTAGCTTTTAAACAAGAAAGTTTACTTTACTAATGAGGGGAGGGTCCCTGGGAAACACTACAGACAAAACAAAGGACTAACGTCCCCTCTGACTGTACTAACCTACTTCCTTGACTCTCTAAAGTTTAAGCCACATGTGCTAGCCCCAGGCAAGGGTCAGAGCAAAGAGCAATAAACATTTGAAGCCTCCACCCCCGGGACATCTTCTGATCAATGCTCCCTCTACCCTGCGGAGTCTTGTGAGCGAAAATTCTACTTTGTGAGCTTCTGGCATTAAAGTGGTGAGCGAGCGATTGTGATTCGGCTGCTGCATAAATCGGTTTGCTCTGGAGCCGTCCTCCCCGAGCGAAGACAAGAATGTCTGAGCCAGAGGCTAAAAATCTGTGAGCTAGCTCACGCCAACTCAGCTTAGAGGGAACACTGCTTCTGATCTATTGAATGCCCAATTGGAGAAACCGAAACCTAACTAATTATGCATTTTAACACCTTGCTCTATGGTCTGCTATTGGGGTCTGTCATGACCCCAGAGGGGTCTTTGGGTTTTGCCGCCACCACTCTGGACTTCAGGTCCCCTGAGAAGGCCCAGAGTACCCTCCTCCCAGGCCCCTCCAACATGCCCCTTTTCAGCCGAGACCACACAGGCGTGATTGACCCAGGCAGAGAAAATAATTACACAAAAAGGGTTTATTAAAACAACAGTGGGGCAGGAAAAAACAAGACACGGCAAAGGTGCTTAAAAAGGGTATAACGGTGTGAAAGGAAACATAAACATAACCTAACGAAGCTGTCTATTACTCCAGGCCCACAGCCTGCCTGCCTGCCTAACACTCACGCTGAGGGATCCTTTCCTCGCAGACCAACCTGTCTTCTCACTAAGATCAGGTTGCAGAGAGACGAAGGACGGAGGGATCTTCCTCTTCCCAGCCCAGCCTATCTTCTCACTAAGATCAGGCCGCGGAGAGAGACGAAAGACACCCTTTTCCCTCAGCGAACAGCTCAGATTCCTTCTCCCACCAGACTATCACAGTCTCCTCCCAGACTGTCTTCCCAACCGACTCCAACGGTCTCTTTAGAATCTTCTCTCTGACTCTCCCAAGGCCTTCTGGGAGTTGTAGGCCTAGCCGCCTCCTACTGCCACCCAGGCCTCTTAGGCTGGCTAGGCCGTACTGGCACAGGCCAGACCATGACAGGGTCTCTCACTAACAGCTAGGATTCAAGCATGCACAAACATATTCTTCCACGACTTCAGGGAGAGAACTCGCCAGCTCCAGCAGAACTACCTGATAATCACAAACTCCCCTGAGCAAATGCCTTGCCCACTTCCTCGAAACACGAAGCGGCGCCACATTTGTTGAGAGCGCTCAGAAGAGCCATCAGCGGCTCCTGAGCCACTAGCATTGCCCTAGACCAGTGTTTCCCAAACTGTGGGTCGGGACCCAAAAGTGGGTCACAAAGCTGCTGGAAGTGGGTTGAAGCCCAGCCCTCCCAAATCACCACCCCTGCCCTTTCCGTTGCTCTCTTTCGTGCCCTGACCTGGACAGTACAGGCAAGCCCGTTCTCGTCAGATCTCGGAAGCGAAGCAGGGTCGACTCTGGCAAGTCCTTGGATGGGAGACCTCCTTGGAATACCAGCAGTCAGGAGGCGGGGGCAGGCTTTATTCAGCCATCTCTTGAATATCCTCCAGGCCCCCAGTAGGGACCAGTCACCAGAGGTCGCCGTGACTTCCAGGTGCACACACATGCACATATGAAAACTACATTGCTCTCTTTTGTATTTTGGAAACCAAGATCTGATCCTGGAAACCTATCTTCCATCTCATGGATTAGTTAAGTTTTTTCCTTCTTCACTAAATATACATATTGATCAACTAAAACGTGTCCTGATGGTGACCAGAGTGAGTTTCGTTGAATCTTTGGAGGGATAAAATCATGGGATAAAAGGACAAGTCCTTTTATGGATCAAAAACTGGCTAATTAATAGAAATGGGCAGTTTTCTCAGTGGAGGGTGGTAAGCAGTGGGGTACCGCAGGGATCAGTACTTGGTCCAATGATTTTTTAACATGTTCATTAATGATTTGGAGTTGGGAGTAAGCAGTGAAGTGGCTAAATTTGCGGATGATACGAAGTTGTTCAGGGTGGTGAAAACCAGTGAGGATTGTGAGGCACTCCAAAGGGATCTGTCAAGGATGGACAAATGGGCCTCAACATGGCAAATGGGGTTCAATGTGGCCAAGTGTAAGGTGATGCACATTGGAGCCAAAAATCCTAAATATAAATACACATTGATGGGGTCTGAACTGGCAGAGACTGATCAAGAGAGAGATCTTGGAGTTGTAGTACATAACTCATTGAAAATGTCGAGACAGTGTGTGACTGCAATAAAAAAGGCCAATGCTATGCTGGGGATTATTAGGAAGGGTATTGAAAACAGATTAGCCAATATCATAATGCCCCTATATAAATCAATGGTGTGACCTCATTTGGAATACTGTGTGCAGTTCTGGTCACCACACCTTAAAAAGAATATTATAGCTTTGGAAAAAGTGCAGAAAAGGGCAACTCGAATGATAAAAGGGTTGGAACACTTTCCCTATGAGGAAAGGTTAAAGCGCTTAGGGCTCTTTAGCTTGGAGAAATGATGACTGAGGGGTGACGATTGAGGTTTATAAGATTATGCATGGGATAGAGCAGGTATAGAAAGAGGTACTTTTCTCCTTTTCTCACAATACAAGAACTCGTGGGCACTCAATGAAATTGCTGAGCGGTTGGGTTAGAATGGATAAAAGAAAGTACTTCTTCATCCAAAGAGTGATTAACACATGGAATTCACTGCCACAGGAGGGGGTGGCGGCTACAAGCATGGAAATTAAAAGGGAATTAGATAAGCATATGGAACAGAGGTCCATCAGTGGCTATTAGCCACAAGGTATAGATAAGGGCTCTGGGGCAAGTGATGCTCTGTCTTCTTGGTGGTTGGGGGGGGGGTCAACAGTGGGAGGGCTTCTAATGTCCCGGCCCCACTGGTGGACCTCCTGATGGCACCTGGTATTTTCGACTACTATCTGACAGAGTGTTGGGCGGGATGGAACTTTGGCCTGATCCAACATTGGCGTCTCTTATGTTCTTATGGGTGTGTGTGTAGAAGTAGTCATGGAAGAAGGAGAGGGTGGCCAAAGGCTGGAATTTAACCTCCATTTGCAACAGTTGTGTATGTCGAAACAATGCTCCCTCTAAGCTCTGGAGTCTGTGAGCAAAAATTATACTTTGTGAGCTCCTGGCATTAAAGTGGTGAGCGAGTGATTTCACTAATGTATAAATTAGTTTGCTCTGGAGCCCTCCTTCCTGAGCTGAGAAAATAACGTATGAGCTGGAGGCTAAAAAACTGTGAGCTAGCTCACACTAACTCAGCTTAGAGGGAACACTGCCTGCGATGCTTCCTCTTAGCTGTGGGGTCTTGTGAGCAAAATTCTACTTTGTGAGCTCCTGGCATTAAAGTGTGAGCGAGCGATTTGGCTAGTGCATAAATTAGTTTGTTCTGGAGCCATCCTCCCTGAACGAAGACAAAAATGTATGAGCTGGAGGCTAAAAAACTGTGAGCTAGCTCACACTAACTCAGCTTAGAGGGAACACTGCCTGTGATGCTCCCTCTTAGCTGTGCGGTCTTGTGAGCAAAAATTCTACTTTGTGAGCTCCTGGCATTAAAGTTGTGAGCGAGCGATTTGGCTGCTGCATAAATTAGTTTGTTCTGGAGCCATCCTCCCTGAACGAAGACAAAAATGTATGAGCTGGAGGCTAAAAATCTGTGAGCTAGCTCACACTAACTCAGCTTAGAGGGAACACTGCCTGTGATGCTCCCTCTTAGCTGTGCGGTCTTGTGAGCAAAATTCTACTTTGTGAGCTCCTGGCATTAAAGTTGTGAGCGAGCGATTTGGCTGCTGCATAAATTAGTTTACTCTGGAGCCATCCTTCCTGAGCTAAGAAAATAATGTATGAGATGGAGACTAAAAAACTGTGAGCTAGCTCACACTAACTCAGCTTAGAGGGAACACTGGTTGGAATGCGACTTGCTTGGGGGTTCATAGTGGGAACAGTTAAAGGGGCCCCTTTGTGCAATTTTTGTTGGTTTCTCAAAAAAAACATCTGGTTAGGCATTGTTCATGGAATGCTGAGCTAGTTGATGCCGAGGTCACAGTTTGCCTAGGGCGCCAAAAAACCTTGGGCGAGCCTTGGAACGGTCACCATGCAAAGTAAATTTGGACATGTGGGCCACCATACCAGAAGGGATGGGAACCAATGCTCGAGAATAAAGCCTGCTTGCGCCCCCCCCCCCAATATTTCTGCCCACAGGTACACCTATGGGAAACCTGCCCATGGAAAAGTAGACCTCAAGTTAAGCAGGAGTCCATCATTCCATGAATACATGAGTGGAAAGCTGACAGAAATTGGAATGGAGCACACGGGCCAGGTGAGCTCGCCAGGAAGGGATTTTCTTGGGAGGAAAGGGAGGGTGGGCTGAGTTGTCTGCACCTGGTCCTGTTGCCCTCACCCGTTGTGTCTGTCAGAAGTGAAATAAAGGTCAATGGGAATGAGAAGATCAGGGCTATTTTGGGGCAGGAACGCACAGGAACAGCATTCCGCCCTATCTTCCACCCCAGCATGGGACTTTGGGGAATGTTCCTGGAGGGGGCGGGGCATCCCCAACATAATGACGTCACATTGGGGATGTCCCTGCCCGCCCGGGGCGCCGGCTCCCTGCAGTTAAAGGGGCCCCTTTAACTGCAGGGAGCCGGCGCCCCGGGCGGGCAGGGACATCCCCAATGTGACGTCATTATGTTGGGGATGCCCCGCCCCCTCCAGGAACATTCCCCAAAGTCCCACGCTGGGGTGGAAAATAGGGCGGAATGCTGTTCCTGTGCGTTCCTGCCCCAAAATAGCCCTGATCTCATTCCCATTGACCTTAATTTCACTTCTGACAGACACAACGGGTGAGGGCAACA